CCCTACAGTTCCAGATAGCCACCATCTTTCAGCTTCTTACAGTAGTCTTCCACATACAAAAAATACCTTTTTTTTTCCTTTAACTAGGTGAGATTTTCTCTGGCATTTCTGCCATCTTCATCATTTAATTCCCCACCATCAAGGACATTTAAAAGTTTCTTAAAAGAATTTATTTTTGTAAAATTAATTGAATACATTGAAAATCAATCTAGAGATACAAACCCCTCAAAGCAATTTTAGCAAAAATCAGCTTCATGCATTTGCACTGAGAAGAATTTTCTTCTGCTTCAAAAAGATATATTTTGTACTTCTGTCAGCCTGATATACTTTTAACCTACTTCATGTATCTTTTACTCTGTATTAATATTCATTGCCACAGAAGTTTGCATTATTATCCTGTATTTATAGTACTTGAATTGTAGAGAACAAGTTAAAAAATACTCAGCCATCAAGACACCAACCTTGTGGGCAGGGTACAGCAGCCATCAGCCGTCAGCCTGACTTGGGTTTCATAGCTATCCAGTGGGCAAACAACTTGTTGAACAGGAGGACATTCGACTGTGCTGCAATCCACACTGAACACTACAGAGGAAGGGGAGAAGAAAATTCCTTTTACTCATGCTTTAGAAGCTTTTCGCAAATTACTTCATCATAAGCAACCAGTTATGCATCAGCCTTTTAATTTAGGTCAGAAAAATTATCTAATGAATACATGCTCGGTAGGTAACATTACAAAAAGACTTCCATTCTCTTTAAGATTCACTTTCAAAAATTATTGACTTGGGAAGCAATTGAACTAATATTAGTTAATAAAAAGAATTTATAAGAGTTAGACCAGCAACCTCAAACAATCATTACACCTGTGAATAATGTTAGTTACTAGAAATATACTAGGTTACTGAGAATATATTTAAAAACAGTAAACAATTAATTGTTTATTTTTTTCCTGATTAAAGTCTGTTTAAAGAGTAAAATACCTGGGTCATAGGAAATAAAAAAAATATTAAAGATACACTATGGATTTATGATTGCACATGTAGACTACATTTTTAAGGATTATTCCATTAGGTATTGTTTAGGTATTTATATATGGCAAAAATGAAATGCAAATTACCAAATCTATCTGCATTAACAAGATGAAGAATTTCGCATAACTAGTAAGACACTGACACTTTTTAGAAAGCAACAAATGCTTAGAAATGCAAAAAAAAAATCAGGCTGAATATACATTTAATCCTATGAGTCATACTCAGGAAAGCTGAAACACATCTTTACCTTGTTTGGTCCTAAATCTCCCATGTTAACAAACAATACCAACTCAGGCATTATCTATCTGCTATCCTTATCATAATTATACTAAGAACGCACAGAATAAAACATGATTCCCTCTCTAAAGAAATTAGCTACCTACCAACTGAATAGGCAGGACAAACTGAATGTTGTCAGACTGAAAATTATCCAGTACGATACCCCTGATGACTGATTAAACTTCACTTCAGTATTGACACTATTACGACTGCTTACTGCAGTGCTAAAGCAACTTGGCAATGCTATACCACACTTCTTTCACGAGCTGATACCTTTCAAAGTCCCATTTTCTGTCTTCAAGTCCTACATTTTTCAGGCCTGATCCTCAGAGGTACACAGCAATAATAATTCAATCAGTCATAATAAGATATCAGTCTCAGAATTACACCTACTTAGCATATTTCATCAAGCATTTAAATGAAAGCACAAGTTCAATGAAACCAGCTTGCAGCTCATTAAGGTTAGGATCAGTAGGTTTGTCCTCAAGACCATTAACTTTCAAAGTACATGACTATGAGTATCCTCTATATAAGTGATATTCAGAATCTGGCTTTTTCCAGTTATTTGGGAAATGAAGCCATCTGCTAAATCAGAGCTATCTGACAAGTTAAAGAAGTTCTCAGTGAGAAATGCACAAATTTAAGTCCATTTTCTGGAGCAATGCAGAAAATTACTGAATTTAAATGGAAAGATTCCAGTTACTAATCTTGACAATGACAATTATTGAATTAACTTTTATATCTCTTCATAAACACGCAAAGATACCTATTTGCCTTTAAGACAGGAATACTTAATTTTATAACATTTCACTTTAAAAAGCTCTAGAGCTTTATGTTCCATTTTATTAACAAATAACACATTCGAAACAGCTCTTCTGTAAGAAATACACATCTAGTTCCTCCATTATCACGACAGGCATTGAGAATCATGAGCTCGTCAGTATGGCCCAACACTACCAATACAATTTGCATGATTCTGTTGTGCCACGTAATGACCAATGTCCAGTTTCCTGAATTTAAACTAGTAAACTTTCTACTTCTCTGGATTCAAGGCCCCCTCTGCCTCCTCCTCAGGTAAGCAGTCTGGGAAAAACCAGCCAAATTCTGCTAAAAAGCTACTACTGCACAGCTATTTCTGTGTCCATCTTTCCATATACCAGTAATGACAATGAAAAAAAAAAACAAAACCCACAAGGAAGCTCCCTAATCACACCACTAAGTTTCAATTAAGGTGCTCTTTCTTCCTAAGTAGTGCAAATTCTTTGCAGTGGTTATAGCGTGCTAGTACATGGCTCATTAACACTGAAAAGCAGCCCCAACAGTCTTTCTTTATCAAAAATGTACAAACCTGAGAAAAATTACAAAAAAAACCCAAATCAAACAAATCAAGAGCATTCAAATAGAAAATTCTCATGTAATTGAGTGGCTGTAGTCACTCAGTGGTTCCCCTGTTTGATTTGACTTCCCTTTTTTTATTTATTTTATACCGATCTCTTACTAGTACCAGAATGCCCTCCAATTCTTGAAAGGATTAGTAGGATTTGGTGAACAAAGGGTATGCACTGAGCTTATCTACCACCCACAGGATTTTATAATCCACCCTCATACCCCACCTCAGCCTTCTCTCCAAACCGGGAGATCTTTATTATTACATTATTAGATTAATCATAGAACAGCTGAGCTTGGAGAGGACCTCTGGAAGTCATCTGGTCCAAGCCCCTTCCCAAGCCAGGCCACACAGATTTGGCTGCCCAGGCCCGTGCCTACATAGCTTTTACATATCTCCAAGGACAGAGACTCTACCACCTCTCTGGACAACCTGTGTCACTGCTCAGTCACCCTCATGGTGAAAAAGTGTTTCTTGGTGTTCAGAGGGAACCTCCGTTGTTTCAGTTTGTGCCCAGTGCCTCTGGTCCTGTCACTGGGCTCCACCGAAAAGAGCCTCGCTCCATCTTTACCCCTTCCCTTAGGGTATTTATATGCATTGATGAGATCCCCCCTGAGCCTTCTCTTCTCCAGGCTGAACAGTCCCAGCTCTCTCAGCCTCTCCTCATAGGAGAGAGATGAAGAGAGATAAGAGATGAAAGATATTTGAAGAAGGAAAAAAAGTTCCTACTTTTTTTCACATTTAAATGGATTTCTCAAAATGGAAAAACTATTGAGCCAAACTTCCAGATAAGCTGAAAATATTGTAAGGTTACAGAATAGTCTATAATTGGATTCTTCATTACTTAAAAAGATGTCCCCCAGATCAGCTGTACTACCATCCTAAAAAAATAAGACTGCAAACATTTGTCACTGAACTACTAATTTTGTTTTCACAACTCACTTTGATTCCGATAATTACAAAATGTACTTTTCATGAACAGGTTTGTTACAAGCTGTTATTATATATTTTATTATAAGCTAAAAAAAATTTAAATCCTGTCTAAATAAAATTAATTTGTCTATCCTAGAAGCTTTAAATATGTAGTTTGACAAATATATGTATCTTCAAGAACTCATAAACATGTTGCAGTTTCCTATCAACGAAGATGCACCCAATCAACCTTTCCTTGCAAGTCTTCATGCACTGAATTTGTGTACAGTAGCATCTGAGACTTACTAATTTTTCTACAAGAATGTAGCAGAAACCCTACCATGGTTGCAGACCCTGACATAGCTGCAGTAATGTGCCACCTCCTTTGTAGACTACAAAATCAAAGGTCTCTGATCATGAAACTGTTAAGAACTAGGTGAAAGTAACTTTATAGTAGAATATGTTAACACAAGTATATTAAGTTTCACCTTTACGTGTTATGCTGGCTTTCTAGAGAATACAACGTACGGTTCAGGGGCAAGATCTAAATAGTGATCTATGCATCTAAAGATCCAGGATCAAGGCAGTATTTGCATCTCTGATGCAACAAAGTGGCTCAGCACAGGAAAGACTTCATGTTTTTCCAGAAGTCACAGCCTTCTGGGGGTCCAGTACAGATAAGCCAAACAATAACATTCTCTTTACAGTTGTGTTTAAACCAAGATTCGGTACCGAAAAACCCCATCCATTTCAGCAAGACTAATTTTCAGGCCATGTAGGGGTGCTGGAGAAGGTGAGCAAATGAAAACTCTGCCAGAGAGACTGCTGGAAGAATGACAAATGGGCGGTCTTTTCAACAGAGGTTCTATGTAGCATGACAGGCATTTCCCAATGCTTTCCCAAGGATGTCAGAAACTAAGCAATGACGCTCCTCACCTCACCATACACAGCAATAACAACAACAAAGTCATCAATAAAGGTACAACAAACACCTGTTGGATAAGTGCCAAAGTAAACTATTTATTCTTCTTTATTCAGAAGTGGCAGCCAGAGTTCCTGTCACAACTTCAGCAAAATACCTTTTAGATTAGATTTTAACTCCATCTTTAAATGAACAAACATGATTTTAAATACATCATACTATTTTAGCTTCTTAGCAAAAGAGGCACATATAATCCCACAAATCTTGTTTCACCTTATTTTCATTTTTACTGTTAGCACATTATGCAGCTCCATTTGAGACCGTTCATTCAGACTATCTTTAAGAAAAAAAAAAAACAACTTATTTTTGAGAATACTTTTTAAGAACTGTAACTCCCAGCTTAAAACTAAATTCAGTGCTCATTCAGTAAATTCACTGCTTATGAATGGCCAGTAATACACAGCTCGTAGGAACAAAGTAGGTTGCTTATGGCACCAGACCACTGTTATTTCACCTCTGAGCTTCACTGTTATTTCACCTCTGAGCTTAGCAACGGCAGCAAAACAAAAGGGACACAACATACTTGTTCTGAGTAGGTACCACAACTGTGGAGAGAGGCTTGGTGGAGCAACGGGTAAGAATATTTAAGACAAATTCATCTGGAGGTTAATAGACAGGTATGACTAAGCTACTAAGTTTCTTCACTGTTCATTTTAACTCAATGCCAATGCCTTTAATCACTGCATTCCTAAAGTAAAAGGGGTAGAAGAGGAAGCGGATCTCAAAATGAACAATTTTAGTCCAGCATTTAGTCTTAAGGAAACACTTCCTATTTTCCTTTCAGTAACTCAGTTGCCAATCACAGTATTTGAACATACACAGTTCTCACCACAAGGCTCCAGACTCACATGCCACTGTAAACTGGAGTGCAGTGACATCTTATTTAAGGAACAGAAATAAACACAATTTATGCTTTAATTGCGCAAACACTTACTGGCATAAGGCAGCACTACTATCATAGGAAGTAGTCCTCCCAGCTTCTGGAAATTTGTTTCGACCAGAAAGCCCTTGCTGGTGCAAAACCCCTATGGAGGCTGGTTAAGTAGACACAGAGGTGCAGGAAGAGTGTTCTGGTAGCAGCACTCACAGAACCAGAGTTTTTAGGTCTGTGGCAAAGTACGGAAAACAGTTTTCTGTTTGACTTGTAAACTCCATGGACATGCTGACACTATTCAATAAAACTAGTGACATCAGCCCCGTAAGAAACTCTACATGAACACTTATCTCCCAGGCCTTATACTGTCCCTTGTCCCATTTTTTTCATCAACATGGCATTAAAAACAGAGGAAACATGAAACAGAGCACTGCTAGTTCAGATCCTCTCCAACTCCTCTTTCCTACAATTCTTCAGCATACCAAGTCAAACTCTGAAGACGCAAGGTTTATTACCAGGCTGAATAAATGGACTGAATAAATATTCCTGCCATGTAAGGAGCATTATCTGACTTCGCTTTATGACCAGAATTTCAGCAAATCCACATGGTGTTCATACATAACTAAAAACAGTTATACACTACTACACATACAGTAGTACATGTAGAGAATAAATGGCATAAAACAACACAGGAGAGGCAGGATGGGCCAGATTACCTCCAGAGTCATCTAGTCTTCCAACCTAAATTATTCTATAATTCTGTAAGCCTATGAATATACAATCCCAATAAAACAAGATGTTCCATTGCCTGTTCTTAAACAAAGAAATTTATTTAAAACCACAGACAGTAGTGAACATGATGGAACAGTTTAGATGGAAAACAACAGCAAGGTTCATGCTGACTTGCAAATTTAAAAATAAAATCCCTAAACTTTCTTCAAGAAAGGAAACATTAAAAAAAGATTTCAGTATTTGTTTAGTCTATAATTTTCTTTGTATATCAAGTACAAATTATGTTGTCTATACAAGTACAGTTTACACTTTTTGAAAACAAGGTTCCTCTGAAAACTGAAAAAAGTTCAGATTTGCAAAGATTTGCCATTAAAAATAAAAAGCCTTCTATGGTAAGTAATTTGTAGTCTACTAAGATTTGTCAACATTCACCTACTCCTTTGCCTGTCTTCCAGTCTTGTGTTGGCTTGTTTTTCCTTTGTGATCTTCCCACTATGTCAAATGGTAAATGAAAGAAACGTGTAGACCAAAGTTATAAAAGTCAACTTGGACAGCCACTGAAGTCTAACTAACTTGACAAAAATCAGGCTATGTAGTGACCAATAATTCCGTATTAATAGGACTCCCGTTTTTTCCCTAAAGCCAAGGCACTGCAACAAGGCCCCACTTACTCTGTGGTTTGCAGTTTAGCCATTACATCTTTTATCACCTTTCACTGTGGGGATGCACAAGAGTACCCACCTACACTCCTCAGCCTCTTAGCCACTGCCCAGGGAACATACTGTCATCATCTCCAAAGGTAGGGGAGAACTCTCTGCTTTCCCTTAGCCTCTCAATTTCTAACCCCCATTGCAAAGCCTACACTTCCATTAAATTCCATTAGTCTCCTCCCCCAATCTCTTTAAAGTCTCTGCTCTTCTACCCTCCTAACACGTATCTTCTTTCTTCCGTCCCACGTACCTTCACCTCTTAACTCCCTACAACAAAAAATACAAACTACTTCAGAGAACAACATACACACAGTAACACAAATCCACCAATGTAATAAATAATCACATATTCAATTTGAAGATTCTGTAATACTAACAAGCTGAAAACAACCTTCAAGAAGTAACCTACAAAGGTAAGTTTGGACTGATTTGCAAACTACAAGATGGGAATGCATATAACAGTCAGGAGGACATGATTAGAGCTAAAATTTATTTTGAGAAATAAAGAAATAATCTGCAGTCAGCAAGACAAAATTCAGTAAAGGCATACTTGAAGTATATATAGGAAGAATTAAAATGTACAAATACAGTGGTTCAGTAGCAGCCATGCTACAGAAAGATCTTGGGACCACACTTTTTCACAAACTAAATAAAACTCTGCAACAGAGCCAGCTTTTACTTAGAATTTTGCATCAAAGACAGTAAGTAATTATTCTACAGTATTTAGTCCTGATGAAGACTCACTCAAAATACTAGTCTGCTTTTAGACACCACATTTTAAAGACATGAGGATAAACTTAAGAAAACTTATAGAGGGGCAACATAACAAGCAAGGAGTCCAAGGAAACTAGCCATAAGAAATTACAGCTAATTCTAGATGAAAGATGACTAAGGTTGACAAAATGTTCCAGAGCAAAAATTATTATAAAGACTTGTTCAACAACTACTCAGGACGGAGAACAAAAAAGTTTGCTTAAATTTCCACATAGGCAGATTTGCATTGGGTATTAGGAAAAACACAAAGAGAAGCACTAGAGGATACAAAGACTGTACAGCCTACTTCTGTGGAAGATTTCAGAAAATGTTAAACAAGCATAGGAAAGGCACAGCTTAAACATACTCGAGCCTGTTTGCATATAAGATTTTGGATTATACAATTTTATATGCCTGCTTTCATCCCTCTATTTTTATTATTAATCTTTACCAAAGCCTGGATAAAAAGAAGAGTGAATTACATCTTCCGCTTCACCGAGAATAATAAATCACAAGAAAGGGTGATTCGTGTTCTCATGAAATGGAACATGGGTAAATACTGAAAGTGTTGTAAAGTCTTTCACTATGCTCCTCCAAAATCCTTTTGCTCTCCAGTTTTTAAGGATTATCACTTTGTAATCTAGAAAAATCTTAAGACAGAAACCTTACTTTCCTGTCCATCACAATATATTCCTACTATGAAAAACCTTTGTATAAGCTAATCAGTATCTAAAGCATGTTACTTTCACTAGTAGCATCCACAGAAATGCAGTATTCTCACTAGGCTACTTTTCCCTTGTTGCTCAGTTTAAATTAATGTCTGAAGAAAAAAGAAAGTAAAATTTATTGTAATATTTCTTTTTTCTTAATGCGTATTGCCCACATATAATTATTTTAATTTTGAAGAAGAATCAGAAGAATTTAGAGGCTATATAGGCTTTATTAGATGCAATTATACAGGTTATTGTGCTTGTCAGACAGTTAGAAAAAATTGAAAAATGGAAAAAAATCATGTCCATTTTTACCTGGTTTACATTCATAGAGATCACAGCATTCCCCTGGCTTTCCTGATGCCTTAGAAACCAATATATTCAAATAGCCAGGTTGGCAAACCTTCCTCAAGCAGCCTGCAGGATTACACACACAACGGCTCGGGAGTGGACAGCATTCACCGGGAGGAGCATAGCCTTCAATCAAGATGGAATCTTCTGGACAGCGAGGAGAAAACTGGACTTCACAGCGGGCCTTGGAGCAATCGGGTTTCTCTTCTGAAAGGGAGAAAAAAAAAATCAGCATGCCACAAATGTCAGTAAAACACTGTACTGAAGCTGTACAAGATGAGCTCAGATAAAGCTCCCTTTCTCCTCCCTCCCCCCAAAACAATAAAAATTGCTGCTGCTGAACTGATTAGCAAAAATTATGGAATACGCTTAAAAAAAAAAATCTTGGTATTTGCAAGATGGCAGGTGCGTTGCGAGATATTTTACAAAAATTGTAATTTGTGCAATATGCATGACAGCTGAACCCACACAGCCTCAAAAAAACAGCTGTGAAGCTACACATTTGGCCATAACATTAAGAAACAATTTGTCATATCATGCACAGCCCTGATGTTCACACCTACACTTCCAGTTTCCTAAGACTTCCCATTATGAGCAACTGATTTTGATTGATTGATTTATTAAACTTGAATGACCTGAAATGAGATTTCACATATTCAAAAAGCTGGTTAAAAGTTCAACAGCTAACATACTTGGAGAGTCCATACATTAGCAAAAGAGGATTTTTCCTGTACACACTCCCAATGCTCACATTAAAAGTATTGTTCCTATGTACTTCGGTGGCTTGAATAGTAAAAGAGAAGAGGTTTGACTAGCACTGGCTAGAGGCACTAGAGGTTTGAGGCACTGGCTGCAGGCACGCAGCAATAAGAAAAGGAATATTGAGGAGCAAGGTCAATGATTTGGTGGGAACAGTGACAAGCTGGGCAAACACTGAGACAAGACAAAGAGAGCATGAAGACATAGAAGAAGGTTCTTGGACAACTAGGTAACACTCTTCCAAAACTTGGAAAAGAAGTCAAGATTCCCCATTCTCAAGAAAAAAGGATCTTAATTCTGGCAAAAATGTTGTGTCACGGCCTCCAATGACTAAGCCACACTGGGAAAAATCAGACCACTACCATGACCAATTTACTCTGTAATGCAAACAGTGAAAAATTTGCTCATATTCAGGAGGGTCTCACTTAGCTCAATATACCTGAACACAGTTAGAAAACAAGGGGATTCAAGACACTCAGAAGAGCAATATCTTTAAGTCAATAGGACTTGGTGACTTAAGTGTTTGGAGGCAGTGCAGGGAGCCTTCCCAGGCCTGGCCAGAAAAAAGCCCCACAACAACAGAAAACAAATAGCTGAATTTATAAACTGTTTGTACCACTCCTTGGTTATTTGCTGCTTTGTAAGCTAGATGGTTCTACTACAAATGTCACTATTACCCCTACAAAATTAATTGGTTACTTTTCCTGTCATTAAAGTTAGATGCAGAATAGTAGAAACAAGTAAAAACAACACTAACTTTATTAATCTGTTTAAGCTACTGCCATTTAAAAAAAATAATAAAAAAAAAAAAAAAATCAATCTTCAGTTGTAATTTCAATGATTGAATAAGATGTATCAACTATGAACATCTCTGATAAAAAGAATATCTTCTCCAAGATTCTAGAGTAACTCCACTGTTTTTTGTTACTGAAGTTACTGGATATTGCGTTTGGGTTGTTTAAACTAAAAGCAACACAGCAAATGTGTAATTCTCCTTCCAAACATACACTGAATGTCAATAACAGCAGTATTTTTTTTCCCAGAGGATCATTTTTACACTTAATTTTAGTATATTCTTCAGAATTCTAGGTCATATTGAAGAATCAAAGCAGTATTGCTTGTCTACATGGTTGATTTGCTAACTGTGCTTTAGTTGCACTTAAACTTAAGAGGGATGTAACGCCTAGTCATATAAGGTGCTTAGAAAAGTATTAATCTAGGTCTTAGCATTAGTAATTGCAAAAGGAAATAATGAACATAAACCTCTGCCTCAATTTTATCTGGCAAATATAGCAAAACAGAATAAAAAAAATAATTACACTTATTTCCCTCATGTACAAGTACTTTATATTTTTTCTTACAAGCAACAGAGATTACTAACTTAAATGTGATACTAGATAGTGTCATAACCCTTTTCTTACAGTTAAAGACCCCACTATTTCCATCTATCTTTAAAATAGCCTAGGCTAAATATGTACTTTGCCTAGAATTTTAAATAACATTTGTAAGACCTTTTTTTTCTTTTAAACCTACCCTTATGTTTAGGTTCTTATCTGCTTTATTAAACACATTGTTCAGACTGAACATAACTGGTTACAGAGGTTCACTGCAGAAAGTTGTATAAATAATAGATAACATACTAGTTTCAGTATTTTATTGATATTCTTTAGTTTATGGATATAGTAAAAGGCTCGACATTTTAGCTTATAAAAATCTTTTCATTTCCCACTGCATGTTGTTCAATCGTACACAGAGAAGTGATAATAGCAGCCGTTGAAGTTCATGCTCATGATAGACCCTTAAATTCACACTGTGCATTACTTAATCTGCCCTAGCATTATGCATCCAGCCATCTTCTGATTTCCATGACTAACAGATAATCCCATCCTCATGCAGTCTTTCTTGTGAAAAGACTGTATTATACATATTTTTAAAAGTTTACCTACTATTTTTACTTGACTACATTTACATACATACCGATATCTCTATCAAGATAAGTGTTTCCTTATGGACTGTTTGAATTTGAGCAATTTAAGCCAACTTTCAGAAACGCAATGTTTGTCAGAAATGCATGTCAAACTGTTGAGATTCGGACCATTCAGGACTCACAACTATATTTATTTTGAAGACCAATGCAAAGGCTACTGTTGGAGTTAAGATCACCCAGCAAAAATATGAAGACAAACAAGAATATGTCACTATCAGCATGTAAGAAGCATTGCAAGCAGCAGAAGAAAGACATTTTAAATAGAGAACCATGACAAGTATTTTTGTATGAAATGTTCATTCAGTGTTTCATAGTTATTATCTTTTATAGTCTTTTCCACATTAGAGTATTGTGCTCAATGTGGTTAACTGTAACAGAATACAATAGGACTCTACTATTAAGTAAAACCAGCATCACTTTCAGAGGAAATGGTTTAAACACAAACAACCACCACCTTGCAAAGACATGTTTGTGTTTTAATATCAGGTTACATAACACCAGCAGATATTTAGAAATCAAACTTAAGTTTTTCTTAGTAATCCAGTGTCACTATTACTTTCGTACTTCATAGTCCTGAAAAATAAACGAAGAAAAATCCCTCCCTACTACACTAGTTGTGTAAATATTGTGCTTCAAAATTATACTCTCGAGCTATGTAAGTGGTAAAACATTCCCTTCCCAGTATACAAATGCAACTGAGCAAAAGGAAAGTCAAATGTATTAACCCAACATGTATCAGCCACCAGACAATTGTGACAATTGAGCTTCCCTAACTCCAGCCCGCAGCAGAGTCAAGAGCAGGGGAAAAAAAAAACCAAACAAACCAACACCACCAAACAAAAACCAAACAAACCCCCCCAAACTTTCTGCAGATGTGTTGTGATTTGGTTCTTGATTTAGAAGTGGTTTTCCTTTTGTGGAAAGGAGCAAGTGGCTGAAATGATATGTGACTGACAGTATTTAAAGTGTTTTCTTATTGAGTCCCTACTTCATACTTCTGAAAATAATCTTTATCCAAAACATGAAAATCCAGCAGCTCCCAGTGCAGCATCACTAATTTTTCATTAAAACTTTAATCAGCTAGCACCACACTAGCATAACTGTGTCCTGAGCCCCACGCTCACTGCAATGTAAGAAGGTAGGAGCTCTGTTTTACTGCAGTTCAGTAAAACCTAATGAGAGCTCCTCTTTTTGATAGCAAGCCTGAATAAAAGACATTAGTTTTAAGCAACCATCAAGAAAAGTTTCAAAGTTTTTCTTCTTGTTATCTCAGCAAATGGCAAGCATACCCATCTTCTCTACTTACAGGGATAAAGGTTTGTATATGAGACATATTTCTACAATTCATTGTACTAAACTTGTTTACTTTTTCATTACTTGATCAAAGAAGGCATCAAAATTGAATTGGTTCTCAAAATAAATCAAACATTAATACAGCCATAGATGTCACTGCTTTAGCAGGATTCCAGATTTAATTCCATTACTTACAGCTATTTAAGATTTCATCAAGCAAGAGGAATCATTTACTAGCTCTTTTTTTCCTTTATTAACAAACACTTCCAGCCCTTACAAAAGGAACAGTTAAGAAAACACGTCAGAGCAGAATAATTAAAAATACAACGGACTATCTCAAAAGACAGAAAGGTAGGGCAATGGCAAGCTTCATTCCACAGAAAACAACTATGAAATCACTCACCAGTGATATTTTTGCTACTTTACCCCTTTTATACACCAAACGGGGACTATTTCAAAGCAGCTTCTCAATAGACCAACGTAGATTCACAACAATAACCCACTGCTTCTCTGTCAAATACACACATACACTATGAAGCCCTGATCTGTCTCCCAGATGTTGTTTTAAGCTACTGTCTATTACACAAATCAGGATCATGCTAACCAACATCTTCAAAGTCAAACAAGGTATCAGGACTTAAATGCCATTTTATTATCTTAATTATTATAATAAATAGAATATAAATGATTAGTATGTGTGCACAGAAACAGAAGAACTTCATTCTTCAAAGCAGTGTATTGAATCTAAAAAATTAGATTTTTTGAGGAAAGGGAAAACTATGTATGTGACTTACTATGAAATAAATTAGCACAGCAAATATGTAAGATACTTATTCCTGAATAAAGAAGCATCTTAACACACAGATTACATGGCAAGAAGATATGCATGCATCACATTCTCCTAATCCATAATGTAGGTTCCCTCACAAGAACAATTTCATACAACCCTAACTGTATGTAGAAAGACAGTAAAGCTATTTGTTAAAGCCGATGTCTGGTTTTGTAATTAAGAGTTTGTACTCGGGACACTTATCACACTAATTAAAATATATTTTTATAAAACATTGCTCTTTCTCTACCCTTGAAGCAGCTGACAGGTCTCATTTAATAAGTTGACTGTTTTAGCAAGGCAAGAAATTGCTTATACAACTCATCAATTAATTTAATG